CCGTGGCTTGGCGGATACATGCCATTTTACTGAACACGTTGCATGGCCCCCTGAGCTTTGTTCCGCTAAGAGTTCTCTCCAACAGAGCAAAGAATGAACAACTGAAGAGTCTAAAGAGGGGGGAGGAAAAGAAACAGGTGAAGAAAAACTAAATGAGGAGAAATGGCAAAGGGGGAGGGGGGTGGGAGACTCATAGGCTGCTGAGCTTCTTCCTGTGTACTTATAGAGTCTACATATAAATGTATATATATAATATAATACATAATTTGAAGATGCATCAGTCTATTGTTGGATGAACACATCCAACGCCTCCGCTGACTGGACTTCGTCGACAAATATTTATAATAATTTCTTCAGATTGGAAGGATCTAACTAATGATGAGCATGTGGTCTTTAAATCCGTCCACCTTGTTTGCTTCCACTCTTAATGAGAGCTTCTAAATACAGCTACAGATGGAGTGCAAAATACAAGGATTTGTATAGCACAGGCAGAAACCTTCGGCTCTGAAGAGTGAAGCCAACGCGGAAGTGCTTTAAACTTGCATTCTTTCTAATGGCCATCAGGGGGCGACTCCTCTAATTCTCACTTGATTTATTGCCTCAGTAAACATGAGTTTATGGACTCAATCTCTAGTTTCAATACAGCATGAAGTTCATTTAGTGAACTATGGTTCTCGTCTTTATTTACTAAACAACAACACGGAAGCTGGATCAAGACGGCAAACTTCATTATTCCTCTCAATGTTGACAAATGCAGCACATTCGTCGAGCCCTTGGTGTATTATTTTAGGCAAACGCACAGCATGAACTACTAATGCTGCTTGGACACATATGAGACTCTCTGCCTGGAGGCTGAGGGAGTAGGGCATCTGGTCTCCTAGCAATAAGCATGTGTGTGTGTGAAGATGTGTGTGTGTGAGGGCGCTTGCGTGTGCACGTGCGCTGACAAAGTAGCCCAGTGCGGTCAACACTCATTAGTGAAAGAGAGAATCCCCGGATGAGGTGCGCTGTGACAGGAAGGACTCTCTCGTTAGGGGACAAACACACACACACACACACACACACAGGGTCAGGCTGCCCTGGGTGCATAGAATCAGCCAGACAGCAATTAGTCCATGGATTCATGCAATATAGTCTTGCGAGTGCAGTGGCCTCGGCAACAGCTCCGTTGATGCCGACCCTGCAGGAAACGAAGACTCAGGGTATGAAAATAGAGAAAACCGAGTCCACTTTCGGGGAGCAACTCGTCGTCGCTGTGCACTAAATAACAGGTTCTTATTTGATAAGATCACACCAATCTGATCAAAAAATCTTTTCTTTCTTTTTTTTTTTTTGCCACAGATGAGTTTCACGTACTGTAAACTTGGGCGGCAAAAATAGTCTGAAAGGATGATTATATTTCTGGAATAACTGCCAACCGTCTAGCGAGCAGATGTAGCTGGGCCATAGACGGATGGAGACAGCAGGTGGAGGACTTTGATCCAGGGGACGGGCTATTTGTTTTGGTCTGATGCTGCTTATTAGATGGTGTTTTGCTCGGTTTTATGCAGATGCCGCTCATCTGCCAGGGAAGGGCCTCCGCCGGGACGCGGCTCGCTCAGGATCGGAAAAATACTGAATTCATCTCAAACATGAAACGGCTCCGCCATTTTATCTCGAGCGGGTTCAGACGGGGCCACGAGATGTTCGCGAACCCTCGCGCGCACACACACGTCGTTTGATGAGTAGCTACCGGGGCGCAATCGCACATGTTCTGATAATCAGCGCCATTACCGTCTGTTTACTGGTAATGTATTAACCGATCGACGCATTAAGGAAACAGGTTGGAGGCGTGGGGCAACGCTTTGGGGCGATCACCGTCCCGTGTGCACTCTGGACTGCATTATCCGCACGTCATTACCCAAGCATATGGGAGCACGCCGCCCCGCTGAATTATGAACTCGAATTTGAGCTCGTATTAGTCCCGGTGCCTGCCTCCAGGGGACCGCCGGCACACATCTATCGTCTGGTAAAAGGATGGTGGAAACGAGAGGGTTAATTAACTGATGGCCTGTGCGGCACACGGGGTGATGGAATAGCTTTTGAATTATGGAACAGCGACGAACGCTGCGGCTGGTGGCGTTCGGCCATATGTCAGCGCGCGCCTCCTGAGTCTGCGGCTCGGGAGACAGCTGGTCAGATGGCGCGCGTTCAACCGAGTTAGGGACCAATCAATCAGAAGCCTGTTGAGTTGTTTAAGCGGAGGGTGGGGTCTACTGCGATTCGATCGCTTTATGGATTCGACAGGGGAACTGTTTGCGGAGATATGAAATCGTCCAATCAGTCGCGCCACCTGATAATTGAGAAAGCGTTAGTAAGGTTCTGCTAGAAAGCCCGAGGACGATCCAAAGTGGCAGTTTAAGGGCTCACTTCTCCTTCTGTTTGCTTCTGTTTTGGTTTGTGTAACAAAAAACTGTGCTGCCATTCAGACTGGCACTTTATTGAAAAAAATGATTTTTTATATCAAGAGACCGGCCTGGTTAAATAAAGATCACATACCCCCCCCCCCCCCCCCCCAAATAAAGACCTTCAGATATTGAAGATGCGCAGCAGTTCCATTATTATTTCTCACTATCACAGGTCAGCATTGTTAAACTTCCTCTCAGCTGATAACAAGCCTTTAACGGATTTAAGAGAAATGTTTTTCGATTTCTGCCAATAAATCAGAGGATGTATTTTGAACATAAACCAAAAAATGGACTTTCTAGTTATATTAGAAATAAAATTAAAAGTCTTGAAAAAATAAAAAAATGAACTGACTGGATGAAATATAGTTTGACTGTTTATATGCAAAAAACATGTTTCCTACAACCGCTTTGACTTTGCTCAAACCGATTTGAAGTTGTTTTTTATCGCAATAATTTCAAATGGATTTTCAATTTCGACGATTTATTTTGACAATGATGACTTCTTGTGCTGGCCGTCTCTGGTGTGTGTCTGTTCCCAGAGATATGCCTCTGGGTGCATCTGTATATCTGTCCTGTCATTGTAGATGTTCCGAAGATGCATCATACATATCTCCTTGTGACTCTCATGGTGTTTATGGAAAGGTCCCTGTCATTCTAATAAGACAGTTTCTATAGATAAAATCTGGTCTTGTCAGAGCAGTAGTTGTAGCTTTTACAATAATATCCGAGGCGGGGACCGCTGCCAATGCAAAGATTTCTGCCCTCGCTGCGAGAGCGTGATGGAGATAGCCGGCTATTGTCTCAGTCTCTGCTGGGCCAAAAATGATATGGTCACACTGATCAATAGTCTCTGTTACACATGATGCATTTCCCATGGCTCTGGCTGTCAGCTTTGCTCCATCTGTCCCTGGCTGTTGCAAATTGCTGCAGTCTCTCTCTCGCTCGGTCTGACACACACACACACACACGTACACACACGCACGCGCGCTGTTTATTCGGAGCTGGGTTCCCTTGAGAACTGTGAACATTTAGGCACAAAACAGGACTGCTGTTACCTTTTGAACTGCTCCCGTGGAAAATAGAATGTTCCACATCAACTAGGACGATTGCGTAATGACTGAATGTGATGCGGTGACCCTTCTGCAGACAACGTGATACGAACGCACAACTCAGTATTTTACAAAGAAAACGGGTAAACATCAGATGTCCAGGGTTGCAGAAAGAAAGAGTTAATTGTCGGTTGAACAACGCGGGTCGGCTTAATAGGTTCGGGGAGGAAAGAAGTGATGCTCACCAGTCTGCCACTGCTATAAATACTCTTAAAGACCACCGTCCTAGTAATTGTTTATCGCTGATGGACCATGAAATGAACAATTAGATCGGAACATCAATACATTTCACACTTTGATGCCGATGCAGAATTTCAAAGTGCTGGCGAAACCTTAAGACAGACAGCAGCATCATTGTGGCAAAGTCTCGCGGATCATTCTGCATAGGGTCTGTTGTCTTGTGAAATATCCATTTATACATATTTGTCTCGTACCACTTAACGATGGATGAAATACTCGGTTGCGTCTCAAACGAATGCCTTTGAAATAAAAAAATAGTTCCCCAGCTATTGTCAATTACATAATGCACAATGTTTGCCATCTAGCAGTGTGCAAACATGCATAATTAAGGGGATCAGTTTGACGATCATCGACCTTATCTCCTACTTCTCATTGATTGACATGTCTATATATAGCACACTGATAAATAGTCCCAAAAGGAATGCTCTATGAACCGCCAGCCCAAATCGAATTTACTTGATATTCTACGAACTAGAAAGTTGGGCTAGGGTTTTGACAACAACCATATGCTTCTTAATCATTCCATCATTCTTTCAGCATCAGTTAAGATAATTATTGATTACTGTCTAGTCTCCTGGAAGATGTCTACAGGAAGCTGCATTGACCTTAAAGTGCTGCTTTTGTTAAAGCATCCATCCGTCAGAAGTAAATAGAGTAACAGGATGTCAGGGAAATGTTTCCCTCCGCTGCATAAACTCTGCAAGTGTAACAACTTGTTTGATGGTCAAGCCGTTTGGATGTTCTTCAGTCGAAACCTGTGTTTGCTTTTGTCCCCTTTGTTTCTGACGTCTGTCTTTGTCTTACTCTGTAAAATGTCTTTAGTTGTTAATGTGTTCATGTACTTGTCTGCACTTGTTTTGTACTCACTTTTGTACACTAAAATTTTTTTAAATAAAATTAAAGGACATTTGCCACTATTGTTACATACTTAAATGGATTGGTATCCTCAGTCCAATACGTGAATTACGTTATTTCAGAAACCATTACAGATACCGGATCGCATTTGACCCGTATCTAACAGTAATATAATAATTAGAGGTCTAATCGTTACTACCTATACTGCAGCTGAGAGAGTTAGGGGTGTGAATACATTGTGTTGTTATACAGAGAGCATAGCCATGTGTAACAGTGTATATGTCCTATGCACAGAGAGATAAGGCATCCAAGTGAACAAACCCTCCTCTGTGCGTCCATTCTGCAGGGCCTGTATGGTGTCAGGAACACTGAGCTGTGAGGAAAACAGCTCGCTGCAAGACCGTCTGGGCTCAGCAGGAAGTGCCGCCGTATTTACTTCCAGGTCAACCTCAGACGTCATGTGGACCAGATGCCTGCTCTTCGTCTCGACCTTGTTTGCTTCCATCGCCATTGGTAAGAAACGGGACCACCCGCAGCACAGACACATTTTTGAGGCGGTGCTGGTTTGTCGGCCTGTACTATAAATGTACTAAAGTGTTGGCAAGTTGTTTTTTATCATTGTTTTGTTATTTTCAATTGAACGCATGTTGAAAGAGAAAATGAGATGCTAATTTGTAGCCAGCCAGAGGTTTAGAGGTATACTGACCACCAACTAGCTAGCTTAGCGTTAGCGCCAGAAACTGCATGCGACACTATGGACCTCGCAGAGGAGCTGGACGGGATTCAGCTCATTGTTCATGGAATGAGTTTTTGAAATGTCACAGTAGGATTTAGCACAGGTGTAGATGATACAATTAACGATGGGCTGAAATCCATTCATGTGCTTCGGGCTTGGGGTCCAGGTGTTGCTCACGGCGGCTCACTTTCACGGCTAATTGGGACGTTTTAAAAGAGAAGGGCCGTCTTTAATGGCTGCTAAAATTAAGGCTTATTGCAGCGGGGGGGGGGGGGGGTCTGCACACACTGGCAGACAAAAACACATTTTTTACATACTATAAAGTTTGGTTCCACATGTTTGGATTGACTTTATCTGCCCGCAACCACAAATTGAAGTAATGACTGTAGACTTTGACTCCTCATCCAAACCCCCCCCCCCCCCCCACACACACACACACACACACACACACACCAAAGCAACACTGCAGCTGCGAAACCCTTAACTCACTTACTCTCGTTTACACGTAGCTTCTATCTTATTGCAGTGCACATTCACCAGCTCTTCTAACTTCCCTCTCTCACACACACACACATTTAGGCTGCGCGCACACGCATACACACAGTAGGCTGTCTGTATGTTTCCTCCTCTCCCCCGTGACGGTGGGCTTTGAAGACTCCTACAGGGAGCTCTGGCCCACTTGGACTTAATCCTATTAATGGCTGCTGTCAATCACGCTGTTGTGAAGGAAAAACTGCTGCAACATGTGCAAACACACACACACACACACACACACACACTCACACACACACACACACACACACTCAAGCATGTTCTTGTACACATACCTGCCAACAAGCATGTGCACAGATGATATACTTTGAACACTGAAATACTGTACACCCGTAGAGACACAGATCCTCCTTAAAAAAACACACATAAACAGTCGAGCACACACACACACACACACACACAGGAAGTGCTCACAGGCCGCCACTTAGACACACGCAAACACAGAGGGCTTTGCCTCAACACGGAGAGATGAGTTTCAGTCAAAGGTATTTGCATCAATGTCTAAAGAATAAGTCGACATATGCAAATGGTGCTGTTTATACTGAGCGGGGATTAGTTGAAACAAAGACAGTTTAGACACACAGCAGAGAGCAGCTCCGTGTTTCCCGCAGAGCTGCGTCTTGTCATCATTTCAGGGTTACGTGGAGACAAATAAAAGAGAAAAGGAAAGCGTGGAATTGTTTTTTTGGGACAAAAGCCACAGAAAAAAACTTTTCACATTGTTCACAGGTGAGGCTGTTGTGTTTTCATGGTATTCGTTGACAAGAAAACAACATCCTTCCACTACTCAATACTTTCCGTCAGAGATGCACAGATTGCGATTTTCTCGGCCCATTCAGATTTTTCCAATTTTTTTTAAAGTCTGACCTGCCGAGTACGATTTTTGCTGATTCCAATTTCCTAATAACTACGACAGCGAGGCTTAATACTTTTTCTTTTTCTACCACTGAATGGAAATAGTCCAAAAAAAATATTATTATTATTTCAATTGTCAATGAAAACTGTCAAAAATTCTATATGCTATCTTTTTACTTTGTTAGTTTTATCTATAGTGGTTATTTGCATAAAATACACAATTCAAATGATTTGTGGCTATAGTGTTAAGAAGTCAAACGGATCACAATTCCCTTTCTAATATCGGCTTTGCTGTGAAAACATCTCCTTGAAACAAGTGGATTTATTGAAGTTCCTCACCAAAAACTAAATTATACAAGCTTAGAATTGAATAATACATTTCAAATGCCCATGGTCATCCTAACAAAGAACCCCGGTGCTATGGTGTGATTATAGGAAAAAACGTCTGCAATATTTATTGAGGCAACTTCTTTCGTTGGGTTCCTTTTTCAATAGTCCCAAGGGAGGAAGGTCCCTGACCAGAAGTTCGCCTCAATGAAATTACACAGGCTTAAGTGGGCGGATGCTTTTCCTATCATACGTTAAGTCCAACAAGCCTTTAGCTGGTGAGCAAAAACTATTTGTTTTTGGACAACAACGGAGCACTGTAGCGTAGCGGAAGAAGCTATATTTGGCAGTATTTGTTATATTGTTAACTCATTGTTGGGTCATTTTTTATTTTTTTTTAATGGGATTTATTGACAGCAAGAAAAAACTAAATATCCTTTCAAAAATCATAACTCTGGTGGATATTTTCTGTTCTAACTCCACATCGCAGACACCAGCACTGGTTTGGCGATCAGAGTGAGAGATCACCTTTTAAAATCTCTCTCCCCTTCCCTCTCACCTTCTCCTCCTTTTCCATCCATCCACCTCCTTCGCCACTCTCTCGTTGTTGGCCCAAATGTAAAAATCGATTGCCTTTTGTCTCAGCCCCCCCCCACCACCACCCGAGGCAATGAGAGTGTCTGAATAAGATCGTCCGAGCTGTCCGCTGCTGCCAGGTTTCTGTCACCCACTCCTAGACGACTAATGACAGACACATTAACATGCGCTCGCCGGCTCACACCTTAGCGGCGTGTGTGCGGAGACGGAGGGGTAAACATCGGCGGGTTTACGCGTCTGTATCAGAAGAGGTGCTGCGTGACTGCACATGATTGTTTGTGTGAAAAAAAAAAAAAAAAGACAGATTCAAACAGTGCATGTTTTATAGGTGAGGCAGCTGATATAAATAGATGAATCAAACGGTGACAGATGAGACAGGACAGAGCATTTACTGCAGCGTATGAAGGCAAGAGTGGCTTTTAATTGGAATATAGATAGACCCCTTATTTGAATCTCGTGTGTGTGTGTGCGTGTGTGTGTGTGTTTGTGCCATAATGCTCTCTTTATGCCCTGTAAGGCAACACTGTACGACATCTGATCCAAAGCCAGTCTAGACAGCTGCCGTACAATACGGCGTATTGATCCGCTCGCGCTTCGGTTAACCCCCCTTTCTTCACAAATTCACATTCGTGCTCACGGAGGCGGACATGACGTGGCCATTGTGAAACTAATAAACTAACACTCTTATGAACAGAATTATGACCCACTGCCCTAAGCGCTCCCCCTCACACACACACACACACACACACACACACACAAAAAGTTCCTCAAATCTTCAGCCCCCACTGAGACACACATCCTATCTGAATGTGTGCTTAAAGTATAATCACAGCCTGCAGTGATGTACGTGTGTGTTTATTAGAAAGGACATTTTCAGTAAATGTCACTTATATATCAGACTTATCTCTGAGCTAGCGCCTGTCCTTATCAATGTAGTTCCCTCAGGTACCAGTGCCAAGCAGGTTTCTGCCTCTACATGTCATCACTCACCGCATGTGTGTGTGTGTGTGTGTGTGTGTGTGTGTGTTGTGGTGAAGGGCAGTATTAAAATAGAGCCCGGCCAGTGTCATCGAGCTCATTCAGATTCTTTGCCGCATTCGTGTAACCATGACGCTCCCCCAGCCAATGAGAGCGCCAAGGGGGGGGGGGGGGGGGGGGGGGGGGGGGGG